AACATTGGTAAAATAATATGTTTGCTTACAAAATTGTATGCCCTCTATGAATATTAGCGGTTGTAAATATTTTCGACTAATTAAAAATGAATTTAATAATCGAATTTATAATTTCGAAGGTAAATATATATATATCTAACCGAAAACATTGGTAAAATAATATGTTTGCTTACAAAATTGTATGCCCTCTATGAATATTAGCGGTTGTAAATATTTTCGACTAATTAAAAATGAATTTAATAATCGAATTTATAATTTCGAAGGTAAATATATATATATTTAATTGTTCGATCGGCTTAGACTTTTGTTTGAATTTGTTAAAATTACTACCGTTTGATTTGTGTAAAATATTTATTTATCAGAAATACCTTGAAATATTTAACAGTACGATGAGTGACGCGTCAATCGTTCCAACCTGGTGCGTTGGTAATGATCATTTGATTTGTCTTCTGAATAATAGACTTGGAGACAGATTCATACGCTGTTTCTGTAGTAGCGTCTATGTAATCGGATTATACCGGATATATATTAGTGCTTGCTACTTACCGACCCAAACAGGATTATATCGCCGTAACGGCGAAACAGTCTCTTAACTCAAAAGTATTTACCACAGTTATTTAAAAAAAGTTATTTTTCCATTTATGTATACAAAGCTAACAAATAGAATGACTGTTCCACATACACTTAGGCGAGCAGAAATATCGGAACCCGGTTTAGAAGTTATTATTGTGCTATCAGTAGAAAGAGTTCGAAAATTCTGTTAAATTGGCAGTCTTGTGGCGGATATAAATATTAGGGATGCACAAGAATAGTTTCATTAAAGTTATTTGGGGTGACTTTGTATGACCATATGATACTGGATGAATCACGATTGCTGTATTCTAACGGTAAATTTGAACATATTTAAGAAATTTTGGTTTATTTTATGGTTTAAAGATGTATTATAATAAAATATGAAATATATACGATTTTGTCAGTTTTTATTTTATTTTATACATTTTTCATTTAATACAACTCCACAAAAATATGTAATATGTATGCAGCAAGTTAATATGATTGCATTTGTCATTTACTACTTATAAATGTCCAATTTCGTCCCACTTATGCTAAATAGCATACATACATAAATATGGGTGTCTGAGCATTGGCTATATTGTGAGCAGTCACCATATATAATACATATGTTCAATAAGATTTACATACATACATATCGCGAATTATGTAATATATTTGAACTTGTTCCTTGTAAATAATTGGATACGTTTTCATCACTTTACCGTTATTATTTGCATATTTTCGGTAAATATAAGTAATAGTAAAAATATAGGAAAATCCTTATTAAGGTATGTTGCTATAATAAGAGGCTACGAATTGCACTCGGACAAAAGATACAACGCTTGTATTCCTATTTAAATATGCAATTAATTTGGAATGGTGCAATTAGATTTCTTGATTGCATTAAGTTTAAAATATATATATAAAGCGCTAGCCTATATATATATGTATTTATATTTAATACTTATTTTATTAAAAAAAAATTATGTTATGTATATTTCATATCATCAAATCAATTGTACGGAAGAAAAAGCTTAACTTTAATTACTAATATACATACATACAACTAGCAATAACTTATGGTTTTACAAATATTTCATTTATTTTTGTGGCCACAGAATTTGACCACATCACGAATTCAGCTGTTATAAATTAATGTCGTCGCCATGAATACATAAGAAATTTACATTTGATAAATGAAGGCAACTAAAAGATTACGTGAAATCGCTTACAAGCATTCAAAGCAGTCCCCTAGTTATTTTTTTCGTGTTAACACTTTTAACTTTTATCAGTTGTAACATTGAATAAATTTTTTATTTATTTTGTGATTTCGTAAATTTTAATTAAAAATAATTTTTAATCCCAAATACCGGATGGTAAAACAAAAAAATTTAATCCCAAATAGGAGGTTTAATCTTAACATCTTGGATAAAAATTTAATTTTAATTTTTAATGCCGATTTTGGGATTAAAAATTAGATTTTCAATTTTAATAAAAAAATATTTAAATCAAAAGTTGGCAACCCTCGTCGTTTTGAATTTACATGCGTTATAATTTACATTACTTTCGTAGCTTTACGTAAATTATATAAAAATTAAAAAAGGCTATACATTTTTTCCAACAAATATGGTAAACTGAGTTCTCACTCTCACTGGCGGAGTCTTGTTAATTGTCAGCAGTTTGACAAAAAGAAAACGATATTTTAAATTACAATTTTTTTCTTGTGTCCAAATCACAATTTGCAAATAAAAATGAGTTTTTTAACTTTTCGATAGAACAAGTTTTGAGTAGATTGATTTTAAATCGACGGTGAAATAAACAATTTCATAATAATAGTAACTATTTAAGGCATTTTCTTAGTAGAGAAATTAAGTAAATTGTTCAGACCATTTGTAAAAATAAACATTGGCTATTAGTTTTTAGAATTCTTGTTGCAAATAATATGTATATGAATACAATTGGTATAATGTTATTACTCGAAACTTATAATTAATGATTTACATTCAATTATATATGCATATATGCATGTATACCAGTCATTTATAAACTAGTTTAAAGATATTTATACTCAAGTGTAAATTAAATTTCAATGAAATTTCTTTTTATTAGCTATTTGTATGCATTTCCGAGCTGAAGACAATGTACTTGCATTATGCATTTTACGTGTTGAATATATTTTGCTGTGTGGCATCATTCTCAAAATCAGTCCAAGCGTTGTTCAGCTCCATAAATATTAATTTAGCTATACTCTCATATTCAGTGCCATTATGCTATAATTTATGCAATAAAAGAAATAAGCGTATACATAGTGTTAAGCGAATTCTAATGTGTTGTAAGTGCTAATTAGCTTACCTTATCTGGATGTACTGCAAGGCAGGCACGTCGATAAGACTTTTTCACATCGGCCGGCGTAATGAGTGTCGACATCTCACATTTAGTCCACTTTGCGTCTGTCCAAAGCACCGTGTGCATGGAACACAAGAGCGCTCGTATATTACTCTTCTTGCCTTCAGTCTATAAAATTTATTTTATCAATTAATATTAAAATTTCAAGCTTACAAAAGAAATTTGTGTGCACACACATACCCATTCCATAATTTTAACTTTTTCCGGATCCATTTCCTTTATAAGATCTTCCTTGCGCATTTCGTTAATGGAACGAGGTCCTTGATTTGTTTTGCTACCGAATTTGTAACCTTGTTCACCCAGTATATCAGCGAAAATGTCAGCGTTTTTACCTTGTGGACCTGTGCTTTGTGCGGATTTAGAAGTATCGAAGTTCGAACGACTATAATCGGGTCGGTTCGATTGCACATTTGGTCCTGCCGAAGCAGCAGTCGGTTGTGGTGATGGGCGATTAGAGTTTTGACCCGAAGGCGGGGAAAATATTGAGCTACTTGTAAACGACGCACCAAAATTACCAACGCCACTAGGTGATTTCATGTGATTCGGTGAGGCCGTTGTTGGCTGTGATGGCTGTGACGTTCTAACACTGTTTGTATTGTGTGTAGGGCTTGAGAATTGCGTGGTATAAGGACTGGTTCCGATTGGCGTAGCACCTGTTGATTTACTACCTAGTGTGTGCGGATTGAAGTTGATATTGAGACCAGAGGCCAAATTGGCAATGTCAGCGAATGGATCCTTTGACTAAAAAATACCAAATTAGTAATTAATTGGTTAAGTTAGCAATTTTTGTTTATACTAACGTTTTGTGGAGACGGCTCTTTGTTGCTGTTTGTGTTGAACGTCGGTACTGAGCCGAAGAAAGCGCCCGTTGCCGGAGTTGGTGTTACTTTAGGTCTAGATGTGCTTGCACTAGCTGTTGCGTCAGTATCAGCGACTGTCGGTTGAGCTCCAGCAAAGCTATTGAATTCCACGGTGATTTTGGGAGCCGTTGAGTCAACGGAGCCGAATATATCATCTAAATCGGCGCTTGAAGTGGGCTGCACATTGTTTTCTACAAATATATGTGAAAACATATATTTTAACAAAGATCAGTAAATAGAAAATTAATTTCAAATTTCTTGCCTAAAATGTCTGGTATGGGTGCCGACCCAATACCAGATGAGTTGTCATCCCCGAATGCGCCAAGTAAATCGAAACTAGCGTCGCTTGTTGGCATAGCTGTTGCCTGTGGATCTTGCACCGGCAGCTGCGGTTGCGGTTGATTCAGATTAAGCAAATCTATTGGAGGCGACGGTTCCGGCTGAGTACGTTGTGCATACTCATGTCGTATTTCAGTAACATCCGGTAAAATAGGCGGTGTATTGGGACGTAAGGGCTTTTGTACAGCTTCTGTTGTTAGTTGCGGTTTTGACGGTGCCGTTTGTTGATTGGAAGTTGGTTTCGTTACTATATACATATATGAGATTGTATTTAATATATACTTGTATGCGTTTAGTTAAAATGAAATAACGTAAACTTATTAAATTTGTGTGGAAAAAATTACCAAAATTATCCAACATTTCCTCGAACTCCAACTGTGAACTGAAGAGATGTTGTGCGTTGCGTTTGGGTTTGGCTGGTAACCAAGGGGGATTTCTGCTTGGCGGGCATTCGTTGTCCGTGAAAGTTATTGAAAGTGAAACAGAGAAATCTGGTGGCACCTGATCGGGATCAGGTAAGTCGTCCAAATCGTTCGATGTAA